AGAATGTACAGCACACTGAAATTCGCTCTACCACTGGACTCCAGGGTCTCCTTGAGTAAGGCACGTGCCCTTTGAATCCTCGTGCTTTTACAGACTCTGTTAAACACATGACACATAGTTGGTGTAAAATTAAGTACTGAGGCTACTAGAAGTTGACTTACTCATGGTCTTAGAAGTCATTGAAACCCAATGTTGTATTCATTTCATTTTAAAGTTCTGCTAGAGCCTTAGGCAGGGTGCTAAAAAAAAAAGGCAGATAGTAAGAAGATTAAAGGGGAAAAAACACAAAATTACGCACATCTTCCCTTAGGAGGATTTTGAAGTACTAAGTGAAATTTTATATGTTTCATAAGATTTTTAAATATTTCAAAACAAGGACCTTGATGCCAGGAATACACTTGGACATGAGAGCAGCTTGCCACTGGCAAGCTGTGCTTGAACCTGTTACATATACACACTGAAAGCAAATCCAACTCCTTCATGTATTTCCCATCAGATAAAATGCATAGAAGGAAAAGAACATCAGCAAAAGTTAGAACTAACCTGCACAAATCTTTTACTGGAGTGCACTCAGGGAGTGACTAGCTCCAAGCAATACATGGTGAAAAAGAATCATTTTTCTCCAGTTCTGCCTACTTCAGACACCATCCACTCTATCCTTAGGAACAACAAAGAAATTTTGGTAGGAATTAGGAGAGGAGAAGGTGGAATTGGTTAGGAAGATATATAAGTGTCTGTTCTTAGGAGTTGTTCAGTGGGGTTTTTTTTTAATTTTAAGAAAAATCTGAATCTGCTGTTATAGTTAATATTTAATTTTTAATTAAGTGTAAGCAATAGTGTTCATATGGAGTGATTTTTTGGACCTATTCTCTTCATTTATACCAATAGGTCTATCTAGAAATTATGACAAACTTACACAAACGTTTAGTCATTCGAGTGTTAGCAAAGAAGCCAACATTCACACAGTTACACATCACGTAGCGTGGATCCTTTTACATCAATGGTCAACATTGCTTAAGTTGTGGGTAAGAGTAATTGCTAAACATTTCTCAAGAGAACGACCTCAGCCCCTAGCTAATTGCTGCAGCTCTGAGGCGATTACTTTTTTTCTTCGCAAGGAGAAGCTGCTGCTTCAGCATCTTCTCCTGGAGCCCCTGGCACCATTTCAGCCCATGTGTCAGGGGAACCCTTGATCACATCACAATGACGGAAGCCAAGTGCTAGCCTGCAAGAATTGAGAACTGTTTGTTCACAGCAGATCCTGAGTAAAACCACGGGTGTTACTTAGTTCAACGGTGCCTTGAAGAAAACCAGTGCTCCTGCAGCAGGGGACTTCCAGAGGCTTAGGACGTTTCTTAGCTGCTGTTTGATAGCTCTCCCCTGACTTTTATGGAATTTCACCAACAGTGTTGACGGGGAGTGTTTCTCCCTGTAGTTTTCTGGATTTGGCAAACCGTGGGACAATTAAATAGAAGCGTTTTCAGACATTTTCAAGCAGTGCCACACTGGATACTTTCTCTGGGGAGAAAAGTATTTTATTAATTAGTACAGTTTGGGTTTTGGGTAAAATCCAAAATTAAGCTCATTGTCAGTCTCCTGCTGTTGATGACATTTAGGTGTGTTGTTTGGTGTGGTGACTCAGTGTCCTATAAGATAGCTGGCAATTCCATATGGAGGCTTAGTAGTAGGGTTGAAATGTTCTTAGAACATTTGGGGTTAAAATTCCTAAAAGTTGAGTTTTAATAATGATCCTGAAATCTGTGGTTAGCCATATTGCCTGTAAACCAGGAATCTAGAAGAAGTAGTATTAGCTGTAAGCTAATATCAACAATAATTCTTCACTTGAGAACAATTTTACAGAACAAACTGTTTTTTACTCTATGAGTAATTATTTTTTAGTGATAAGTAGATGTGCTCTATTCCCTTTTATATGCTCCAGATTTACACTCTATGTGCAGAAATGTTAGAACTTAAAATCTACATACCGATTTGTGATTGTGCTTACGTGGTGATTGTTAAAATAGCTTACCTGTTTGGAAATAAAGTAAATCTTCTGAAATAAATTGCTCCTCTTGTCCCTGTACTGCCTTTTTAAGAGTAGGTCCTGTCTTTAGATGCATAACGTTTTGAAGCACTGGAACATTCCTGAGTTACATTTCTATGACAATTAAAAATAAACACTGAAGTATGATATGTGGTACCACATCCCGTTAGACCCAAGGCCAGTATTTCTGAAAAGCTTTGGGAAGTCAGTGAAGATGGGAGGGGATTATTTATCTCAGACTTTGGAAGAATTGGAGCACAAGGAAGAAGACCATGGAAATCTAAGACTTAGCCATATGGAGAGAGGATTCCGGGTTTCGGATGTAACCAGTGCAGGAAGGATAACAGTGAGAAAACCCTGGACACAATGGTTTTGCACCCACTGGGTGTGCTGATGATGGACAAATGACCCAAAATAAGCCAACTTCTCCTTAAAATTTCCTACATGCCTGTTTTATACAGTGGAGAGATGAAAAAAAGCAAAAACAAAACCACATAGCAGATGTACTACCACACCAAGTAGGCACTGCTGTGCTTACAGATGGACGATATGAGGTACAATGAAAATGTGTTATGGTCAGAGGCTTAATTCTTGTTTATGATCTTAAGAGTATGGGATTACAAGGGACTTTCTACATTACATCTTGGTGTAATGTTTCAATTTTTATAACAAGCATGTTATATTTTTTACATTCTTTTAATCAGGGCAAAGCTCTACAGATAAAATACACTGACTATTTAAAATTATCTTCAAGGTTGTTCTTTTTGTTAGGGATAAAAGCTGCAGTCTTACACTTTATAACTCACCTGGAAATGTTTAGGCAGTTGTTTGTTCTCAAGTGTATATTGGCAGAGATTGTTGGGGAGTGGGGGGAACCGGTAAAATAAAAAGGCAGATTTTAAACTAGAGTCCTCTAAGTGAATAGCAACAGTTCAAGAATTCTTCATAACAATGAGCCACGTGGTACGTGTAACCTATACTCGAAAAGTTATTCTAACTTTTACAAATGTTGTATAAAAACCTATCTGGAAGATCCCAGGATCCTGTGATTCAGTCTGTGAAATTCTTTGATGTGCCACTAACCACTTATAGAGCCTACATTTCAAGGGCAGAATTTCTTCTCCTTTAATACCTATAGATTCCAAGACAAAGAAAAAAACATCTCGTCAACTTCATGTAAGCTTTCAATGTACTCTTTCTAATTGAAAATAACAAAGCTTTATAAGGAGGACTCTTGGGAGTTTGGATTCCCCCCTCTGAGACGTTTGCTCATCCACATGCTAATGTAGGGAAGTTCTCCGCAATTGATCTGCTTCTGAAGAGTGCCCATGGCCCCCTGGGTCAGCTTTTGTAAATAGAACCGGCTTTCATATGAAGCCTTTGGATATGGTCTTTTCATTTTCTCACGTTTGTAGTTTATTCTGAGCATGAAGAATAGAAAAACCCTTCCAGACTTTTTCCCCTTGACATCACAAGACCATCCTGGTCTCTGATTTGCAATTCCACAGGCGACTGGAGCACGTAGGCAGGACATGTGTTAATTGCCCAAACCATGTGATGCATTCGCATTGCTGTTGCTTTAAGAAAACTCTCAGACCATTCTGAATGTGCATTACAACATATTGTCAAATGTGAGACTTCTAAAGAGTTCCGACTCCACAACATTGCACGTTTTTGTTTGCTTGTTTGTGCCCACCCCAAAATTTAGTCTGGTATATAGCAAGGACTGGGTACTGAAAGAGTTTAGTCTTACTAGAAATGCTTTTATTCCCACCACCCCTTGAGGTAGGTAAATCCTAAACTGTTGAAAGAAGGCTCTAAAACCCTAAAACCCCAACCCTCAGAAACGGTTGTGCGGGTCCTAAATAGTCGAGTTTGTGCAGTCGTTCGGGCTCTCCCGCGAAAACTTCCCAGAGAGCAGCCGGTGGTGGAGACGATGAGCCTGCCAGCAAACAGTAGGCGCGACCGCTCAGCGAGGCGCTCGGGGTCCCCCAGGCAGGTGCGCGTCCCGCGCGTGCGCGCCAGGTGCCGCGGGAGCCCCGCGGCAGGCGCGACCCGGAGCGCGGGCGGGCGGCAGACGCTCCACGCCGGGTTTTCCGCCGCTCCCCTCGCCCAGACCCACAACAGCCCACAGTCACACTCGCTCGCGCCCGCCGCCTCTCCGGCTTGGCTTCAAAGCGAGGGCGCCCGGCTGTGCGGAGTGATGCCACAGCGGGGCGGCGGGGCAGCCGGGGCGGAGGCTGCGGGGAAGGACGCGGCGGGGGGCCCGGGCAGGCTTGGGCAATTCGGAATCTTTCCGTAAGGGAGTTGTGCAGGGGCCAGGCAGGCCGAGGGCCGAGAGGGGCGTGAGGGGGAGTGTTCCCGGAAAGCCGCTGCGATGGAGCGGCGCTGCGCCCGCCGCCCGCGGAGTTGAGAAAGAAAACAGGAAACGTGGTGGCCGCGCACCCGGCCGCGGCTGATTCATTCGCTTTGAGGGAAGGCTCAGCAGGCGGGGCGGGCGCGGAGACGCGGCTCGGCTCGGGGCTGGCCACCTGGGAGACCGGGCGGAGGACCAGACGCTCCCTCTGCGGGGCGGGCTCCGGGGCGCACGCGCCTCCCCCTTCGTCATCCTCAAGGACTTAGGACTCAGCCCGACGCACCGTCTCAAAGTCGCATCGTGGTTTTTTGTCCCTGTCTTCGTGTAAAAGTTGGCTCGCTGCACTTTGCGCGCCCTCCCTGGACGCTGAACTAAAACGCCAAGCTGGAGAGACCGTGTTTTCCCGAGGCCAGCTGCCCGGCTAGCAGAGCCTCGGTCCCCCTTGCGGTGCCCGGCTTGGCAATATGAAGGAGCAGCCCTCATGTGCGGGCACCGGGCATCTGAGCATGGCGGGGTACGGCAGGATGGCCCCCTTTGAACTCGCTGGCAGCCCCGTGAAGCGCTTGAGAACTGAGTCCCCCTTTCCCTATCTCTTCGCAGAGGAGGCCTACCAGAAACTGGCCAGCGAGACCCTGGAGGAGCTGGACTGGTGTCTGGACCAGCTAGAGACCCTGCAGACCCGGCACTCCGTCAGTGAGATGGCCTCCAACAAGGTAAGCCCCTGCTCCGCTCTCTCACCGAGGCCCCTAGGCTGTTGACTTCCACGTCGGTGAAGCCACCAGTGCCTGTGGCCCCGTGAAATACGGACAGAGATTTGTCACACTTACTGCACGTTGGCGGTTCTGCTCCCTCTGAGGGAAGTCCCTGATTCTGTGCCTTCCCTCTCTCTTCCATTTACTCCAAATTAAACATTTTTGCAAAAGCAGCTTTGACACAGTTCGATTACAGTACCTCCAGGACACAGTGGATTTGGGGAGGTGGCAAAGTGACACTTCGCCCTTGCAGCAGAAATCCTGTCCTGTCCATTGGCATTGCATGTTTAAGGGTATTCCTGGGATTCCCCGTTGGAAACAGGAGTTGCTGGAGGTCAAGACAATCTCTTGAGTGCTACCACCTACCCCCACTTAAACTGAACTTGGAACCTTAGCCCTCATCTGTCTCCGTGTCAGGGTGCACTGTAAAAACTGAGCCTTTGTGTGTTCATTTGGCCATACACGTCCACAGGAAACGTCAGCAAAGTTAGAAAATTCATTATGATCTTTACCTTTGTTTCCTTGAGTCTCTGACGCTTCAGGGGGCATTTGTGCCATTTATGCCAAACTGCTGAGAGGTAACCTTCAGCCTGACACAGCTGTTAAAGCAAGTAGAGTGTTGTCTGCTTTGCTGTATTATTTTAGAAGTCCTGTTTTTTGTCTTTAGTTGTGTAAAGGAATAATTGGTTATGTATGTTCTTTATGAGTGTTGATGGAAGGGATAGGAATGAAGAGATGCCTGTGTTGGATGCAAATGGCTGAGGGGCTCAGCCTGCAAGGACTGGTAGCTCTGTGTGACGATTAGTAACCATTGCCTCTTAAAGATATTCGATTTTTGGCTACCTACTTACAAGGTCAGTAAGGTTATGCCATTTTACTGTTTACATGCACATATTTTTCAGAGTGATGCTTTTTCTTAGCTTACTGTAGTTTTTATCCCACCTGTTTTTTTATGCAGTTTTTAAAAATACCATAGCACATCAACCATTTGGCTTAACTGTTGACAGCATTGTTTTTAAGTGAAACGTTACTTTCCGTCAATGAAAAGGGACTCTTCAGTCACAGTCTGCAGGCACTAACCTACCCATAAGCACTCTGACCTACTTATATGAACACTAGTGATCAAATCCGAATTTTATTTTGTCATTTGGGCCACATTTCTAAATCTGGTATGGCTCCTCATCAAAATGATTGGTTATTGCTCTCCTACTCCCTGGTGTGCTATTAGGTGCCATTGTTCTCATCTAACAAATTCTTAGTTCATTTATTAAATCTCTAAAATATAAATTGTCCTTTCATAATTTGACTCATGTTAACAATAGGCATAAGCTGAGTATCTCCGTTGTCCTACCTGCTGAATGGGACCATTCTGCAGTGGGCCTGGGTTCTTAATTCTCTTCTCTGGTTAATTCCGTGTAGTAAGAGAAAGAGGAGAACATGAAGGCACCTAAAGAGATGTGCAAGCATTTGCTTATGTTTTCCAGATGATTTGACTGTACTGTTTCAGCAGAGTGAACCTGAGCAGCTACAGTTATTTCCCCCCAAAATCCATACTCTTAATGATGAGAACTGTCTTTTAATTTAAAATTAACATGAAATCTAATAATAATACAACATATGAAAACTGTCGAGTAATTAATTTATCTACATTTTAAGGTAAAAAATAAAACTTCAGGTCACAATAATTGATTTCTTTCTTTTAAAGGCACCACATTAAGACAGGGTTGTTTTTTTTAACCTTCACTCTGAGGACCCTAAATTAGACTTTATGTTAATTTACAGGTTTAGTATGGGAAGTGACTGTATTTGGTCGAAGTGCAATCTAGGTTAAGTGAGAAAAGGCTTTTCCAAAATGCAGTCATTCTAGCAGTGTTACTGTCTTACAGTTGAATGATTACTGGCAGGACACTTATTTTTAACATTAAAAATTTTTAACTCAGATGAAGCTGTTGCTTAAACTTTTAATGGCTAAGCCATTCATTTTTTTAACCCGTGCATTTCTAACTGAGTGCCAAGCTCATGTGACCTTTTCTGGATGAAAAGAGATGAGCATAAAAGGAAAGAAAAAAGCTCTTGGTAAAGGTTGTAAAGTGACCCTTCTCCTGGATAACACGAGCGCGAGTAAGTCACCTCTGCGTGAGCTGTAAACTGAGTTGGAGCAGCTGATGTGAAGGTCCCCATGAGTGAACCGAAGTCTGAATTAGAATTGCAGCAGCTTGTGTCACGCGCCCACTGGGTTGTCTGAGACGGCTTGAGTATGAATGAGTAAGTCCGAAACATAGCTTCGGGTGAGCTTCTTATTGTTATCACCGTCCATTCTTTTAACGTGGACTTGTTTGAACCAACCGATGTTTTCAGGTTACTTCTCTTTGCCTTTGAAAAGTCATGACCCTAATAAATTCAATAAAAAGGGAAAGAAGAAAATGAAAAGTCATGACATCTTTCTCTGGTTTCTCTCTTGACGCCTTGTAAAAATTCACTCCGGTAGATTAAAATAACCATAAAAATACTTGTAAGGATCTAGATTTGTAAGTGATTATGCAGAGAACTCTACAAAGAATCTCTGTATCTCTGTGGTGATTACTGTGACGACGGACTTGGGTATCGAGTAGGAAACTGATTCTTCCAACTTAGCAAATTGGGTTAACAGATTTTTCAGAATGTTTTTAGAAATCTTGATGAAAAGAATCTAAATTATTAGCAGTTTTTAACTGATGCTTTAGAAGCAACTAGCTGTGTTTCCCGATTGGTGCTGTAATGTGCATAATGCTCATCGATGGTGTTGAGATAGGAAAATTATTGAATTCCCGTCCAAGGCCAGAGTTGGCGGTGATACACACAGGATGCTTGTACCAAGTAGGGTAAGACGCTCCAGATGGCATCTAATTTGAGTAGTTAAATCTGTAGCATTTGCCCTCAAAAACACATTAATCTGCTTGCAATTTATACAGATTTTCTTTGGAACCTCATCGATATGGTTGAGGGAAATTATGGTGAGGTCTCAAAGCTTGGAAGATGGACAGACCTAGAATTTGAATCATGATTTAGTTCCTTGCTCGTTGAGCTATGTTAGACAAATGACAACTTTTTACTTTCAATTTCCTTAGCATAAGATGGACACAATATCTGTTTTGAAAGGTCAGTGCAGGAGTTTGAAGGAATAAAATAGCTGGCTACTAAATAGTGCCTGACAATAGTAGGCACTATGCCTGTTGTTGGTATTATTATTTGAGGTTTAGGTCAAACGTCACTGCTTGTTTACTTGGCTAAAATATGGAGGTTTTTTATCACTCAGTTGTAATTTATCCTTGACATTTTAATTTGCATGGATTTTCATTATGTAATTAAGTAACTGTCCTTAATGTATATTTCTATATTATAAAAATGCTTAAATTATATTTTCACTATTTTGGCATATAATATGAACATAAACATTTTGAAGTTCTAATTAGAAGTTAAGTATTTTCTTAAATACCATTTACAGAATTCCAGACAGAAGAGCCAAATACTCTTTTTTTCCTCTAAAATTGAAAGCACAGTTCCTATTAATTTTGGAATGTGTGAAACATAATTTGGGATTGGAGGACATATTTCCATCCTTCTGTACAGATTTACAAAGCTAGAATACCCTTTCAGGTGTTCATCATGCAGAGTAGTTTCACGGTGTTTTGTTTACCTTCTGTTATGGAAAGTCAGTTGAGGATTTAAGAGGGGCAGGCAAGGAGTCCAAGCCTCTGGGTTTTCAAGGATGATGCTGTGGAGCCCTGTAACTTTATCTACTTGTATAAGTGCAGTAATGTTTGAAGGAGGAACCAAAATCATTTTTATTTTGGTCCCTCAAAACTTACACTCTAAAAAAGTTTTTTCTTCCTCCTCATTTTGGGGCAGTTCCTTGTCTTATCATTGCTGGAAACTACTATACCTCAAGCTAGAAATCTGTCTTGAAGTTAGGGTTCAGGCAGCCTTCTAAGACAAAGTTTTTCTTCAGGTCATTCCAGATGTATTGTATATGGCCGACTTTGCAAATGTGGTCACAACTTCTTTATGGACTTTATTTTGTCTATTTTTTTTTTAGGAAATATCCCTATCATGTTTCTGTTGCCTGTAAATGAAAATTTAATTTTGCTTAGTGTTTTCATTGTCTGCTCCCCCTGCTGCTTTTTAGTGGTCAGTGCACACATAACGTACCTATACTGGAGCTTTCTGTGACCACTGATACCTTTCCTTCCGGAAATGAGCGGTGGTAGGGTAGAGATAGGCTGTTCACAGAAGCAGCTGAATCTTAAGATATTTCACCACTACATGAGTATGTTGGCACAGAAACAAATGTTTAACTTTGCCAAGAAGAAAGCTGAAGAGCAAATAGCAAGGGACAGTTGTTTTCTACATTAAAATACTAAAATTTATTGACATCGTCATAAGAGAATTGTTAAGAATTAATAAAGATGCCTAAGGAAAAACTTTACATTTTTAAAAGAAGGTGTTTCCTTTAACTATAGAAACTCAACTTATTGATGTTTTGGATTTGCTATCTGCCTTTTCATTTACTTATAAAAATAGATTTTGCAAAAATTTATGTAGTTTACATGTGTGTCATAGTTATTATGAAAGATCGAGAATGCTTGTTTTTACGATTAGTGTAGGAAAAATACTTTGTTTTATTTTAAGTAATAATAGAAAGAGAGAAGTGCTTTTAACAGAAATTTTATGTTTTGTTAAATAGCAAAGCCCTTGACTTTATCAAAACACAATGGAATAAAACAAGTCCTAAGTTATCTCTATTACCTTCAACTCGGTTCCTGTATCAATCAATATTTAGCAGCAGTAAGCTTAAATATCTCTAACATGTAATTATCAAAAAACTTCTAATATTTTGATTCGAAAATTAGTCATTACTAAGGAAATCACTCTGTTTATTACATTTTGATTTAATTGCAAGATATACTAGTGGTAACTTCCTT